CCCGGCGTGGTGGCGCACGCCTGTAATCCCAGCATTCAGGAGGCTGAGGCAGGGAGATCAATGCCAGTTCGAGACCAGCCTGCACTACAAAGTGAGCTCAAAGCCAGTCTGAACTGCATAGCGAGACCCTGTCTCAAAAAAAGACCAAAAATAAATAAATAAATAAATTGCTAAGCATACCCTGAATTTGGTGATTCTCTGCCTCAGCCTCCCAGAGTGCTGGGATCATAGGTCTGCACCACCACCATAGGTGCTTTCTCATTTTTAGAGAGGAGGTACTGAAAGCTCAGAGAGGTCAAGTCATGTGCTCAGGAACACAGAGCTAGTGAATGCAGAATGTGGTCGTCAAATCCAGCAGATGCTGAAGGCCACCTAACAGTGCATATCCCAAGGGAGGAAAAAAGCAAGAAGTCACCAGTTGTGTCCCGGGAAGCTCCGCAGGGAACCTCAGGAGTGAGTAGGGAAGAATAATACAGGGTCCCTGCTAGGATGGAGGATAAGCTCGAGGGGGCAGGGGAGCAGAGAGGGGAGACCCAGTCTGTGTGGCTAGCTGACACTGCTTTAGAACATGTGGAAGAGAAAACCCCACAGGGACTTTCTTCCCCAGTGGGTGCTGCGGGGAGGAGCCAAGGTGGCGTCCAGATTCCTCTCTGGGGAGTCACATCCTGCTTCCCTGCGGGCACATATTGTGCACATAGCTCATGGCCTCTGTGCCATGGGCTTGGATCACCATCCTCGGAGTGTGTCATCTGAGTAGCCAGGAAATGGTCTGAGAGGTGCTTGGCAGGTGTGGGGACTGCAGGGAGGACAGGAGGTCGGGCTGTTCCCCCAGCCCTTGCTGGAAGCTACCGTGGAAATGTTTCTATAACTCAGCTCAGACAGCACGTCCTCCAGAGAGCCTCTGACCCCGTGCCCGCAGATGCCAGTGGAGTGCGCAGGTAAACATGTTGTCCTGTTCCTTCCCAGAACTTCCCAGGCCAGTGATGTGTCGGAATGCGTGTGATCCTTGGTTAGTTTCTGTGCCCCTCTGCCCTGCCCGGCACAAAAAGTCCAAGAGCAGCCACCACCTCCTCCCATCTGTTTGTGTCCCAGCTCCTAGCACAGGGCCAGATGTGCAGCAGGCACTCAATAAATATTTGTCAAACGAACTGATGGGGGTCATCCCCTGGACTGTCCTCCCTTCTTAGCTGCTATTTCGAAGTAGAGCTCTCCTTACAAAATGAAAGTAAAAACATTTTCACCACTCTGAAACTGGGTGGTCAATTTTTTTTTTTTTTTTTTTTTTTTTTTGGTTTTT